CCCCTGGGTAAGGAGCAGAGCTGGAGCCAGTCATCCCTCAGCATGCACAGACACCAGTTCACCCATTTTAGTATTTAAACTTCTAGCATTGGTATACAAGCACTTATAACATGTCACTATTTAGCGGTCTGCCTTCATGTGATATAACTGAATGGGACTCCTTTTTTTTTGAATGTTTCTCTTCAGCTCCTATACTTTAATCTTCAGTTTTGTCACATTTATTCTTATAATTTCCCCTCTTTTCCAAAGAAACCAATTAGTAACCAATTAGTAAGTTAACCAACTTTTATCCTCTCCTCTTTACTACAATACAGAGAAAACAGAACCTCTCATAAGGGATGTCTCTATCCAAACCATATGCTTCTCTGGAACTGTCAGCTTTCCACCAATCCCTGTTTAAAAATCTCTACATAATGCAGTCAACCTGTGGAACTCCTTGCCAGAGGATGTTGTGAAGGCCAACACTATAACAGGGTTCAAAGAAGAGCTAGATAAATTCATGGAGCCAAGATGGGCAGGAATGGCATCCCTAGTTTCTGTTTGTCAGAAGCTGGGAATTGTGACCAGGTCAGGTCAGAAGCATACAAAAATGTAGTGAAAGGGAGGTATATTAGCCTCAGACTAAGAAGATCTCTGTTCCCAGGGTAACTGAGAGGGGCTGGTCTAGAACCAGCAAAGGCAATCAGGGGGAGCTGAACACCTGAGGCTAACTGACCAGGCTTCCAGAGTCAGGTTAGCCCGGTCTGATTAGATGCCTGGAGCCAATTACGGAAACCAGATGAGACTGGCTCTAAAAGGAGCTTGCCTGTAGTTGGTGGAAGGCACCAGTAGCTGAGAGGACAGAAAAAAGTGCTGCTGGGAGTAGGAGGAAAACAAACAGCAAGTAGAGATTAGGAGGGTGAAGCATGGAGAAAGAAGGCCCTGGGGAAGGTGTGGGGGAAGTAGCCGAGGAGTCTTGGAGCACTCTCATAACAGGTTTTGGGGCCTCACTTAGGCAGGGCCATAGGCTGGAACCTGGAGTAGAGGGTGGACCCAGGTTCCCCCCAACAGTCACTTCCCCATTTCCACTTGGGAAAAAGGCTGTGGAGTTTATTTTTTCCTCTATACCTTATGCTGGCCAATGATGAGAGGAGCTCAAACAGCAAACTAATGCCCTAGGCATGGTGCCTAAAGTTGAGGGCTGCTGTGAGCCTCTGAGGCAAACAACTCCGCCTGAAAGTGCAGGACCCGTCAAGTTTACATCTGAGCCTTGTCACAGAAAGGATCACTTGATCGCCTGCTCTGTTCATTCCCTCTGTGGCACCAGGCATCGGCCACACTCGGAAGACAGGATATTAGTCTACATGGACTTTTAGTCTGACCCAGTATGGTTGTTCTTATGTTAATCTCCACTTACAAGCATGGGGCACCAAGATACCTGATGTGGAGCACTCAGAAGAACATTCCTTGAAGAAGAACCTGGCAACTATGTCCCATGCCCTGGCGGTGGAGGCTGGTTACTGACCTGGCAGTTGGAACTTGGGCCAGAGTGAAACTGGGGGCAGAATTTGGCTGGATATCCCTCTGTACCCCTCATGGGGCATGCCCCACAGTTTGGGGACCACAGGTTTAGGCATGGGGCTTTACTTCATTTTTATTCAACGGGCATTAAAGAAGCTTTTGGGATGGTTATCATCAGTCTTCCCCCCCCCCCCCCCCCAAAAATCTGGCAGTTGGGGGTGGGGGGGGGGGGGAACCAAATCTCAGACTAGGGCCATTACCCCCACATTTGGCTTTTAGCTCATGCTCAAATCCATACATACCTGGAGGTGTTTGAAAACTCTGGTCCTTGGAAAGACTCTCTCTAGGGCAAGCTTTTAATTCTTTTGGTCTAAGCAAAATTAAGCTTTTTTTTTTATTTATGCGTGATTGGAAAACGGTAAATACACTTTCAAGCGGAAAAACTTACCATTTTCATCAGAAAACGTAAAATGTGGCCATTTGAAATTTAGCATACCAATAGACCCATTAAGGAGCACAAACTTTTACTACCAATTATTTTTTCTAATTTAACAAGGTTATCAATGTATGAAAATGGCGTACTGTGCATTAGCAGCAATGAAACTTTCTTAGTCTTGAGAATGCACATCAAGAGAACTGTTCTATAAATGGCTCTGGTTTCGCCTGTGTAAACTTCCAGCCCCAACTTTCAAGATTAGCAATTGGGGTGCTAAGCTGCTCCTGGGTGATTTGGGAAAAGTCAGTGAGATTCTTCAATATATTGAACCAGGACTTCTTAAATATGCACACTTTCAAACCCACACTTTTTTGTGTTTCGGTTTAAGAAATCCATGCTTACTGTTCAAGAAATATACCAGTGTTGCCACAAAATAGGCCCATTTTTTCTCTCCTTTGCAAAAGCCTGAGAAATGAAATGCAAAAAACTATATTCTAGAAAAATGAGGGTTGCACAGATAAAATTAGAGCATCAGGAAAAGCACAAGTTAAAGTGTGTACAACAATAACTTAGCTATTTTCTACACGTATATTTTAGTTTCCTATTTTCTATGTTCAATGATGTACTACTGAGAGAACTACATGAAAGATACCACAAAAATACAGACTGGGCAGCATGGCAGAGTACATGTTACAGCAGAAAACATAGCTTTTGCATTTTTAAGTTACGCAACCTTAACAACGAATCTCATCTTGTTTGTTTTGTCTCTGCTTGTGACCAGCATAGCCAGATTGTTTACCTAAATTTTACCTAGAGAGAATAAACAGAAGTATTTGAAGTTTACTTGGAAGTGAATGAAAGACTAAGCTCCAAAAGTATTCATATATCTGGAAAAGGTTCTTTAAAAGCATAGTCAAACCTTTCATGGCATATCATCAATTGTTCAGTGCTACAAGAAGAAGTTTATTGCACTGTGACAAAAAGATAAAACGAAGCAAGCAACCAAATGTCTATTTCCCTAAAACAACACATTCAGTCACGATTAAAGCAATCTAACACTCATGAAATGAGAGTTAAATGATATTTTACAACACTCTTCTGAACAGACCTTATTCAACACTGCATATATTAATGCACGCAAAACATGAATCAGCAGCAACATCTTACTTCACTGATATTTTTACACAACATAGATGATCTAACATTGTGTCATGTTATGATGTACGGAAACTATTTTAGACTAATAATATTTATAAAATGTATCTATTGCAATTTACTGACTTTTCAAAGCCTATACATACACATACAGAGAGCACGGAGTCAGCCTGGCTTTACATGAAGAGGGTTCTGAAAAATGCCATTAAAATAAAGTTAAAAACTCAGGCATAATTTCTATAGAATTTGCCATATACAAGGCACACAATTGTAGTGCAACGTAAGTGTTTTATTGGTAACCATTTGCAATGGCCTGCATTACTCACTTAGGCTTCAAGTGATGGTCTCTATGGCTATGTCTAGACTATGCCGAAGTTCTGAAAGAAGATATGCAAATTCCGAAAGTGAAAGTAGTTGGGATGCAGTTTTTTCCGGCAAGCCCCCTCCCTTTTCGAAAAGCTGCTCTTCCTCAAAAAATGATTTACGCAGCTTCTTGAAAAAGGGGGGATTGCCGGAAAAACCGCGTCTCGGCTACTTTCACTTTCGAAAGCAAAAGAAGATATGCGAATTTGCATGTCCTCTTTTGGAACTTCAGCATAGTCTAGACGAGCTCTTACAGTTTTGCCATTTGCAAGAGTTATTCAAACCTCATTTCAATAAAAAATTTAAGTTACACCTCACCATTTTTTAACCCGATGAAATACATCCCAGCACCAATAGCAACATAAGCTGCTATATGCCAATATAAGACCACTCTACCTAACCGTAATTATTTTCGTAAAACTGTCTGTGCAGCACTTCTATGTTTATTAAAGGTAATATTGTCACTAACCCTTTTCTTTTGAAAATTCAACCCTTAATAGTTCAGAATGATACGATGGGGAGAACAGGACATTTCGAAACATTTTGAATTTGCTTTCTTTCTAACCCTACTAACTTTAGGGATTCATAACCACAGGCCTGAAAATGAGAACAGACATGCCACAGTGTGCATGAACTGGTGTAGAACTCCAATAAAATTGCTGGATTGCTTTTAATGCCATTTCCAAAGAAAATTTAGGAATACGCTTCCCTCTTACGGGATGCACTGGAAACCACTGCTATAAGATGGAGATAAATCAGTTATTTCCAGTGTTACTCATCTTTCACAATACCACACAATAATGTAAAGGAGACAATCTCTAAATATAAATGGCAACAAGCAGGAGCTCTGGGAGATGCAACGCACCAATCAGAATGAATTCATTACCCTATGCCACTTATTAGGCAAAGACAAAATTGTCAGAAAAGCTGGCAAGAGAAATGAAGGAAAATTGCTGCATGGCCAATTTTTTCTCCGTAAATTGCTTGGGCTTCTTTTTCTTTTGTTTTTGAAGTCTGATTTGCTGTTGTGAAGTAATTATAAGCCTCTTTCATGTAGCATACATAGTTTGCATAAACCTACATTGTCCGTAAAAATAATAGAATCATTCCTGAGGCCTCAGCTATAAACTGAACATGACACATTTAGAGCCCTCCCCAAACTCCTCCCCAACCAGTCCCTTATCTCTTTTTACATCAACCTCTCCCTCACTTATTGTTCTCTATTCCCAAACAGGGACATTTTGAAGATGATTAGGCATGACCTTAAAAGCGACCTCCAAAAGGAAAATAAGTTGGGATTGTGCTTTGTGTTTTCTTTGCATCTGAAACGGTGGTCTGTTCACTTTCAGACACTGGTGTGTCTGCTAATTACCTTTGAAATATCAGGAATATCAATCAAGTCTTATCTTTCCTAGTTTTGCTAGCAGTCCCCTTAGAGACTAAAAAACTGAGGTGGGAGCACTTTGAGCCCCTAATTGGTCTTTTCTTCCAAAGAACAGAGTGCACATCGACATTAACATGCAGTAAATTATTGTCAGGGACTCACCTGCTACTGTAAGCTTTGCTGTTCTGCTTACAATGGTTCCAAGGCTTTCCACAGTTGCCACGCATTGATAATATCCTTCATCAGGTTTATTGTGTTTGGAATGCACCACACTATTTATTAATAACGAGCCATCCGGTAGCAGCTGGCGCCGGTCATCTGACACCAAATTTAGGAAAGTCCCATCTTTCTTCCATTCAATTTTGGGAGAAGGCTCGCAGTAAGCTGAACAGTTCAGTATAACAGCAGCCCCTCGAACCGATAAAGCGTCCACTGGCTCCACCAGGAAATAAAACGGAGTGAAGGTTCTCACGGTGGATCCTATAAAACATGAGTTAAAACTGGAAATTTGTGTTTGTCCTTCCATCGTTATTAAGGAGACATTTTTCTTTTCCCCCCCTCTAGAAACATTAGGAGTGGTGTCATATGACTCATAACTCTATAGTAATCGATGTGTTTCATAACGGTTTAAAATGTCATTCTTCTAATAAATTGAAAATTCAATAGTTCTAATATTTTCTATTGACAAAAAAATATCTTGACTAGACATCCGTTAGGCATTTAGAAGACAACACTGAAATGTTTGTAAGACAAGAGAAATGTGTTATGGAAAACCCTATTTATTATAAAAGGCTCAAGAACATCCCTAAAGGAAAGATACAAAGTCAAAGAGCTAGCATGACCACCTGGGATTACAATAAACAAAAAGAGGAAGAGCAAACAACAACAGTCATATATCCAAGCTACTTTATACCAAACGCTATGGTAGAAAAGGAAAAAAATTCAACATACTGACATGCTGTAAGAATGACTAATCTTGGCCTATAAAAATCAACTTCCCCCCCATCCTTCCCAGAACCTCAAAATACCCATTTTAATGGGACCAATTATCATCCCACTTTTGACTAATTTAGTTTTATGAAACTTTAGAATTAAAAAGTTCATCTTTTAGATGCCCAAGACACATCAAGGGCTTCCTAATAGTGGGGAAGCCACCACTACTCAAACCATGCCCCACCAACCCTTCCCATTGAGCTACTACCAACACACCACCTGTTTTAACCCAAGGCCCCCATTCTGATGCCTCCGACATGCGTGCTGATCAGCGTGATCCCAAGCAGCGGCGAGCCCAATCTACTCGCCACGGGCGAGTAGATTACAGTAATAATCTAGCTCTGCTGATAGTTAACCCGTTAAGCACTCAAAATATGCACCAAAGCCTGTTAATGCCCTGAAGTGATGTTATAGAATCCACGTTTAATTTTGTTTGTTGTGGACATTCAGCAAAACTGATTAGATCGGAGACAGCAACTAGGAGGAGGGAAAGGTAAGTGGAAACATGACCAGAGACCCACCCGGAGAGCTTTAGTTACAAAATGAATAACCTTCATTTCATCCTTGAGTGGCCTCTGCGCACTCCCATTCCTGGGACATTTTAAGAAGCAGTACTGTCATCTATCTGAGCAAGGAGGGACATAAAGTCCTAATTAACGAGCAACAGACACACCACTACCAAACTGAGCATCTGACCACAATATTAAGTCTACTGAAATATGCCGAGTACCATAAACATGGGGGGATTCTGCACCAAAAGTTATGAAAGTTCTTCACAAAACATAAAATTCTGCATATTTTGCTAAAACAACACAGTATAATCATGGCAGTTGCATTTGTTTTGCTAATTTATTTCAAAATACCTGTCAGCAAGCCTGTCTAACCGTACAGGTAGGTTGCTACTGATTCCTGAGGTACTAAGAGTTAGCGCCAATTCTGATGCTCCTTGTAAGCTCCTGGTGTGAAGGTACTGCTGATGAAGCATCAAGATAGACAGTGTCCTTCCCCCCATGCAACCCAGATACGTCCTATAGACATCCAAAGCAGGGGAGACAGTAGTACAAGATGCTACCTCTTAAATCCTACCTTAGCACCCCTCCTCCCAGCCCCCCAGTTTGGATCCATAAGCCTACACTAAGAAACATAAATAACTAAGTATCAGAGGGGTAGCCATGTTAGTCTGAATCTGCAAAAACAACAAGGAGTCCCATGGCACCTTAAAGACTAAGAGATTTATTGGAGCACAAGCTTTCGTGGGCAAAGACCCACTTCGTCAGATGCATGTAGTGGAAATTCCAGAGGCAGGTATAAATATACAGGCATAAGAAAAAGGTTCCAATCAAGAGTAAGGTTAGAGATAACAAGGTCAATTCAGTCAGGGAGGATGAGGCTCCCTTCTAGAAGCTGATGAGGAGGTGTGAACACCAAGGGAGAGAAGCTGGATTTTGCCACAAAGCGTCTGAAGGTATGAGAATAGCTTCATTGATAGGTAAAGCTATTTTGGAGGATACTGAGGGCTGCAATATCGTAAGTAATTTATATTGTTTATCCTGAACTTCTTGTAGAGTAATACAGTAAAACTCCAATTGTCCAGCATCCAGTGGTCCGGCACTCCTGATAGTCCAGCACCAACTGGAACCCGGAAGTGCTCCAGCCAGCCGGACAATTAGAGCTGCTCTGCCCCTGCTCTGCCCCAACCTTCCCCAAGTCCGCCGCTGCTGAAACTGACCAGCAGCTGACTTGAGGAAGCTGGGGGCAGAGCAGCTGGAGTGCTGCCAGGTTGGTTCTGCAGTGCCGCTCAGGTGACGGGTGGCACTACGGGACCAACCCAGCAGCACCCCAGCTGCACTGCCCCCACGAGGGGCACTGCCACTCAAAACTCTCTGATCACCAGCGCAGGGACGCACCAAGATCTGAGTGGAGCACCCACAGGGACACCACTCTAAGAACTATGAGTTACTCCCATATCAACACAACACCCATGTCTATAGAATACAGACAAGGACTCTCTCGCACTTCACACACATCCATTAGATTCTCATGCATTTTAGGATGTGATTCAAAACTGCACACACCCCCTTCAGGCTTGTCTACACTACGGAGAAGATTGACCCTCCAGAGGTCCATCTTCTAGCGTTTAATTTAGTGGGTCTAGTGTAGACCCCCAAATCGAACACTAAGGATAGCCCCCAGTGGTGTCCTGTACGCCTCATTCTGTACATGCTCCTGTCAGTCTCCCGCAGAGTCGACTCTGCAGTGGCTCGGCTTATGGGAGAGGCTTACCAGTTAACCAGTCAAGTATCTAACTTAGTCATGCTAATGTTGTAAAATCAAAATACAAACATTTCTGTACTTTTTTTAGTTTAATAAACTGTATACGCTGAACACAGTAACTGCCTCACAAGAAGCGGTCTTTGTAAATCAAAACTGCTTCTATCAGCTGAAAAAAAAATTCCTTCACTATCCAATTGTCCACATCAGTAAACAATTTTTTAAAAAGACTTGAACACTAATATTAAAATAAAACTATATTAAAACATGTTCTGATTGAAGTGTCTAAGCTAAAATATTTCAGACTGAGAAATTCTGGGGATGTTCAGAAAAAATTACCATAATAACTGCAGAGTATGTCGGTTCTACCCAACTACTTTGGCAAAGTGATTTTACTATTAACACCATAGATTTAACTGAGTTAGCTGTGGAAAAATACATTCAAATCTACTCTGTCTCTAACAAAATTACCAACTTAGTAACTGGAGGTACATCTAGACTACATGCCTCTGTCGTCAGAGGCATGTAGATTAGGCTACCAGATATAGGAAAATGAAGCGGCGATTTAAATAATCGCCGCTTCATTTAAATTTACATGGCTGACAAACAGCTGATCCCAGGAGGCATACCTGGGTGGTCAACAAATACCTTTGATGTCGACACCCGCGCGTCCAGACTATCACTCTGAGCCATGTAAATTTAAATGAAGCGGCGATTATTTAAATCGCCGCTTCATTTTCCTATGTCTGGTAGCCTAATCTACATGCCTCTGGCGACAGAGGCATGTAGTCTAGACGTACCCAAAGTCTTTACTGTTGGCAGCTAAGTAAAAAGCTGAAAAAAAAATGATACTGGTTTTCATGTAAGTGACTGAGATAAAACTTAAAATGAGCAAATTTGATGGCAGCCCCTCGGGGAAAAACAACGTGGAACATGGGCTGTTCATTTCGGGCACTTTTTCTGACTGTAACCACAAATGAAGGCAGCCAGAAGCACCCCTACATGTCAGAACAAAATTTCTTTCCAATTGTGTCACTTAGGCATACAAGGATCTCAGGAGAATAGGTTATTTACATTTTGCTGCAAGGAAAAAAAATCAATCAGCTTGTGTGTGACATCGTACATGTTAAATTAAGAGTCAAAACCAATTGGAAAGAATAGCTATAGGAACCCACTGGAAACTTAGGTTTAGCAAAGAAACTATGGTGACACTAACTACTGTGGCAGTAAGTATTGTGATGGCCTTTTTTGTGTTCTGCAGCTCTTTGACAAAAGATCCAAGCTCTCTCACCACATGACAACTTTCAAGAGGCTTTTTGCCAGAATTTAATTAACATTCCCACTGGGCCTTGTAAGTCCTAAAAAGAGCATGTCATGCCCTTCTTAACCTAGATCTTTAAACAAGCTGTCTCAGAGAATTAGACAACTGTATTTTCATTGAAGATGTTGCACAACTACAATCTTCACAAACTGCCAAGGAGAGTTTACAGTGAACTTACATTTTGTGGATTTGTTAAATTCATAATCAAGGGATAGGTCACCTATTTGAAGACTGGTACATGAACTAGTCTGAATAAACGTGTTATCAGGAATCCTGTCTCATTTTCTGGGCAGAGCTGAGAACATTTTACACAGCCAAATTACAGGTTGAACCTCTATAGTCCGGCACTCTGTGGCCCCGCAATATCCATGGTCCAGCATGATTTTAGCTAGCCAGATGCCCACTTATGGGTGTGGTCAAATTTCCCACAGTCCCATGAAGTGTGTTTACAACCACTAGAATCCGGCTCTCAGTGTTCTGGGCTGTTATTTAGTATAATTTATCCCTAAACGTCTTCTAAGAGCCCAGGAAGCAGCAGAAGCGTTCTGAGAAAGGTGAATCCTGAGCAGCAGGAGCTCAATCTCTGCCAGCTCTAGAGGGAGAGGGGCTTAGTTTCCTGCTAGCAGGGGTACCTTGGACAGAGCAGTGCTGGGGAAAGGCAGGGGAACTAGGTAATGCTGCTAGACAATACTGACCTCATCTGGTTTGGCACCAGTCAGGTCCTGAGGGTGCTGGACTAGAGAAATTCAACCTGCATTAACATTTTATTTGATATGCAACAAATGGGAAAATGTTTCAGAGAGGAAACAGAGTTAGTGGCACTGCTCATTATACTATTGTACAGGCTGAAACTCCCAGGTCTTGTATCCTTGGTAGATAGACCTAAACCAGGGAATTTGCAGGACCAGTGGAGGTCAATGCCAGCCCGTCCACTCCCCCCT